AGCTATAAAATATGGCTATATATGATTCAGGTAGAATTTAAACTTTTAGTTTATTTATACAGCAACTAAAAAATTGAAACTTCAGTGAATATTTTATTGTACATATTTGTCTTTATTTCCATTCATAATTCGTTCAATTTTTTATTTATATAGTGCGTCATGTATAGTGGTTTTAAGTATTTTACTTAATTTTGATTATAAGTGTTATTTCATATTTCATGGATTATTATTTGAGGGTTTTGATTCTGAGTCGACTGATTTTGAAATGAGTAAAGACAGTTCAAATAGAACCAAAGATATTGACAGAAACCCTCTATTCGGTTCAGAGTAACATTTGGCGTATGCTCTTCAACTTAGCAACATTCCCAAAGTTTCCTGAAAATGCATTTAAAAAGCGTCAAAAGCGATTTTTCTCGAAAGTCTCTAGAAATATTTACTCTCCTCCTTCAGCCATCCTATTAATCTTCAATCCTACTGATTTACGAACTTCAGCGACTGTGAATCGGTAAGATCGAGGCCCTCGATCTACCTAATAGTGTCGAAATTTCGTCTTCGGAATTTTGCCATAGATTTTACCTTGTGAGCGATTTTTACTGTTCTGCGATATTTCTCACGGGTTAAAGAAGCTATCTTATCGCTAGTTTAGTTATTCGGCTATTTAAATTTGCTTATTCTGCCTACAATAGACTTTATTTTGTTTCAATACAATTTCAAGTCTACTCTTCATGTGGCCGAGTTATTTTAGGAAATCTGTCCGAACCCTTAGCCCGCAACAGTATACAATTAAATAAGGTGCAAGGATAAACTCTACATTTCGGTATAACAGTAATTTTATTTCCTCTAGTACAAAGGACAGGAAAAATCAAGGTTTTTCACAAAACGGAGTTCAAAGAAAAAGACTCATGTCTCTATAATATATCAAACTTGAAGAATAATTTCTTCGATTTCTCTTTTTATTCTAGTAAAATTTATAGGTTATTACATAATTTTTAACGAAAAGGCAATAAGAAAACATTGCAGCTCTAAAGCACCGTCGTCGAAAATACGGATATTCAAAAACTTCGCAATTTAAAACCATCATCATCGAAAATATCATAGTAGAAAATAAAGCACCAACAAAGCATCACATGACGATATATCACAGACATTCGTGTTTCAGACTTTAAAAGTTGTAAATGCGCATTCGCATAACGATTTGTGAGCGCAAGGGGGAATGAACAGTAGTTTTATTTTTATATTTAATTTTTTTAAGTAATAAATTTTTGCTGAAAACGTCAGAAGGAAACTTACGCATTCAAAAATTGAAAATGTGTAGAAAAGTAGTGCAAGCAGTTAACAGAATTTAAATCCGGTACTTAAATATTTTGTAGCTGACATGTTTCGTCATAGCTAACAAATCGACATCTAAACAATTAACGGCACGCTACACATGAAATTGTTAATGACAATGCGAAGATTTTAAACTGTGAAGTTTTTAAATCACTTTATTTTCGACGACGATTTTTTTTACCACGATAGACTAGACTTGTGGGGGAAAATTAACAGTTTTCACGGTGACTAGAACGATCGTTTATTCAGTGGTATGTTCAGGCTCGGCAGGGACCATATCGTACTGTGTTGTCTGCCCGTTTGTTGTGAATATGGCGTATGGTTTGATATCGAAGTTTGTCCATGGGGTTTGGCTCTCTTTGCTTAACACTGGCGGACGGTCGATGTCAAACTAGCGTTTTTTGATTTTTAGGTGGAAGCGTAGCCGTTCACCGCTGATTTTGCGTGCAATTTCCCAGATTTTGTCAACCAAAAATTGTCCCTCTGGGTTAACCGAACTCCTTGGATCGTCTCTAGGGGTTGGGGCATTAAACTGTGTAAAGGCAGCCTCGAGCTAGCCAGGACGCTTATTCTACGATCGCTGACCCCTCGACTACTTGCGCGAACAACATTGACTCGAAAAAAACCGGTGTCTTCTTCCGCGGTCAACTTATCGGAGAAAACCATTCTGTGTTCCTCGGTTGACACGCGGCTGAGTCCACTTGACTGTATTAAGAGGGGACAAGATTTCGCGGAGCTTTAGACCAATCACAGCACAGAGAAGTGACGCAATTTATAGCGCGTGCCGGCTGAATTTCTACGAATGTTCTCCCATCATTTCGCTCTCACACCGCATTTGTAGTTGGGAAAAAAAAAATGGCACTAAAAAGTATAATGACTAAAACGCAGCAGAATATGCTGCTGCTTTGTTACATGGAAGAAAATCCCATTTTTTTTAGAGGAAAGTTGACTCAGGACTTCACAGCTAAGAAAAAAAAGAGAGATGGGACGTGATTGCGTACAATCTAAACGCACAAGGAGGGATGTACCAAAACAACAGAAAAATGCATAAGAGTAAGTGAAATAAGCTTACTTAAAATCTTTTTTAAAAAGAGGCAATTTTAAATATTTAAATTTATAATCTGATTAATTTGCATTGCAATCTAACTGCAAACTGTTTTTTTTTTTTTTTTTTTTTTTTTTTTTTCCCATGCACAATTAAAACTGCTATTTCTGTTCAAGTTATTTATTTACAGTTAATATCAGAAAAAAATATTTCTTTCTAGCTTTTATTTTCTTTTTCTAAGAAAATTATTTATTTATGTAAAAGAAATAAAATTTATTTGCTCCTTACAGTATGCTGCTGCATTTAGCTACCGTCAAATGTATTAAAATATTTTTATTTTAAATAATTTATCTTATAATTAACATATATAGTATAAAATAAAATTTTTCAATATAAAATATGCATAACCAAAATTATAAATCATCTATTCTATATAAGTGATTATTTGATCTATTGTAATTTTTGTCATTACTAATAATGCATATATCAATAATACTTTTTTTAAATATTACTTTACTGTTATTTTAATTTCTTATACATATATAAGAAAACTGACTTGTTTTAAATATTCTTCGACTTCTCAAAAGTAATTTAATTCTGTGAAAGTAATTAAAAGGTAGTAATATTCTTTTCACATTGGAAGTACTAAAGTAACAACGATAATCATAGACCTCCTACAGTTGAAGAAATTCCTTGTCAAATTCTTTAAAACTATTCATGTAAATGTATGCATTTATGTTGACTCTACTTACTTTAGTATGTCCAACATTAGTTCTTATTTTATTCTATTCTAAAAATAAAAACTCACCTTATATAAAGAATTTGAACTCATGTATTTCCTGTTCTTTTTTTTTTTTTTTTAAATTAGACATGGATTGATTGGAAATGTTCCACAAAAAAGAAGGCAGCCAAAATAACAGTTTCACAAAAAAAAAAAAAAAAAAAAAAAAAAAACTGGAGGAGGACCACCTTGTGCAAAGGAATTGAGCGATCTAGAAAAAAGATTGCTGAATTTAATTGGAAATACCTCCGTTAAAGGAATGGAAGGCATCAATGACCCTGCCATTGAAGAAGAATCTGTAAGTGTTTTAAATTCTGTTTAATAACTTTATGTTGTTAGGTAAATATTGCTATGTGTTTAATCAACATATGATTTGAGTTACCTTGAAAGAAATGTTTGAAAAACGGAATGCTTATAGATATTGTTTAGCTAGAAATATTTTAATTAATCTTATAATGCATATTTTTCCTCCACCTGGAAACAATACAAAAACAAAATTCACATTATTTGAAAATGAATAACTTTAATGTACATTTCCCAAACAGTTATATAAAGAAAGCCCAATAGTATCCAAGAAGATAAAACCAAAAATAATAATTCCTTTGAAGTTCTAGTCACTGTATAGGCTAGTCACATGATGATTTTGTGCTATGTTTGATGTGTAACATAAATGCACAACTAATTTTTTAGAAACGCTCTAAATTTATTTCAGTATTATTTCCTAAATTAATATTTGTTATAGCATAATGTTACAGTGTTATTACTTAAAAGATTATTTTTATTGAATTCAGAATTTATAAGGAATAAATATATATAGAATGCCATGGAAGTCAGAAATATATTTTCCAATATATATGAGTTTTTTAGTAAAAATTAGCAACACATTTTCTGTTACAACACAATGTACATGAAATTAGAGTATCAGTGAATTGATTACCTTTCAAACAATAATTTGTTAGAAGAAAAAGCATTTTAAAATTTTATAAAAAAATTTGAAGTTCATGTAAGTTACAATTTCATTGCTGTAACTAAAGATGCAAGAAATTCAATATATATATATATATAATACTCTAAATATTAATGCGTATTTTTCTTAGCATTATTGAAATGTGTTAGGAGGAGGAAAACATGACATTTAGAAAATTTTTCTTTTGCTGCCAAACTCAATTTAGCATACCGCTGCAGAGACTTTCCAGAGCACCAACAGTTTCATGGAGCCTCCACGAAAAAAATTAAAACATGCAGCAGAGGCTGCATTAGACAAGATAGCTGCAGCACAGTCATCAATGGAGGAGAAAATTGATGAGTTAAATCAAAATATTGTAAACATGACAGCAGCAATCAGTGAGCTGTCATGTTCTATGAAGAACTCTGCAAATGATATGAAATCTGCAGTAGCAGAATTAACCAAAACAATATGTTTGCAGCACTTGATAGAAATTATCATAATAAATAAAAAAAAATCAGTATGAAAAAATATATGTTTATTATATATATAACAGTGTGACATAATTTTTTAATAATCCATATGTTTCTGCTGGAGCTGTAACTCTCCTTATTTCAACCTGTAAATAGAAATAACTTATTATAAATTATACTGAAAAATTATTTTAAAAATACAGGGGCTAAATTATCTCAAATTTTCCCTTTTATTAGCTTTTAATTATATGCTATTGCTTTATAGATTTTATTTTAGTTTATAGATTTTATTTATTACCAATTTAGATGAGAAACATATAAAGAAATTAGTACTTAAATTAATTAGAGTTTGCAGATAAGTGTTCAGTGAGTTAGGAGCTTAAACAATGTACTAAAATAGTTGGTTATTAAATCACGTTGTATTAAGATTGCTCTTGCATGTGAAGTGCCTCTTTCAATTTCTGAAGGAATTTCTTCACATTCCACAAGTGCTGGATCTGGCAGCCCATGAGCGTTGCACATGTTGTGCAGGACTACACAGGCGTTTATTATTTTTCCTGCTACTTGTGGTCTGTAATGCAAAACTTTTTCTCCTAGCAGACACTTGAAAAAAAAAAAAAAAAAAAATTATTGGAATAACTATTTAATATATTCTGACTTAACATTATATAATACTGTACACTAAAAAGTATTTTAAATTATTTAATACTCTTTATTACCTAAATCTTGATTTTAAGACTCCAAAGCATCTCTCTATCACATTCCTTGTTTTGCACAAAGCAACATTATATCTTTGATCAGGAGAATTTTCTAATGAATCCAGTCGTGGAGTTAATAAACCTTCCTCAAGAGGATAACCACTATCTCCTTCATAAAATTAGGAATTCAAAATAAGATAGAAGTAAAATATTTCACAAAAGAAAAAAAAAATAGAAATACATAGCTAAAGTTTGGCATACTAGCAAACACTAATTGAAAACTACCTGCTGCTACTATAATTTTAGGTTCAATGCCATTTTGTAACACATAAAAAATTTCAAATTGGAACAGAAATTAGGCAATGTAAAATTAAAAATTAAGGGGGGGGGGGAGAAACATCATCAGATTTATTTGCTCCTTTCTCAGCAGCAGACTTCTTTCTTCAGTTGTACCTCTGTCTGAAACTGATATCAATTTCTTCAAAATCTATGCCAAACACATATTGCTTTTCGCCTAATTTTAAATATTAAAAATTCTTCAAAATAATGAAACATTTTATTACTTTACATACATTTTACATATTTCTTTATATGATAATTATAACTGTTTATATAGCCAGAATTATTTAACATAAACTGTTATCATCATTCATTGGTTCAGTCTTTGCTTTAGACCATTTATCTCTATGAACATTTTCAGAAAAACTTTTCATGTAGTAATATTAAAATTCTGGGAGTTAAGGTATCCCAAAATTTTATTTACAGTGCATTTATATCATAAACTAATAACAACTAACAAATGGTGATTAATTTAATTCTATGCATATATACTGTACTGCATAGCTGTACTTCAAAGAAATTCAAGCATATGTGTGTGTATATACACACACACACACACACATATGTATATAAGTACCTAACAGCCAAGTAGTATTTTCAGCCGATGATATTTCTTGCATTATTCTTCTGACAGCTGATGTCCTCCATATGAAAGCATCATGTGTTGATCCAGGAAACTTAGCATTGCAACTGATAATTTTTTGGTTTGCATCACATATCTGAAAGATAATTGTATAAAAAAATTTAAAGATAATGTTTGTTTGTATAGAAATCTGAATACTTAAAAAAATGGAGGGGGGAAAACCTAGGAAACAGAAATAAGTAATTGTACTGCATTTAATATTCAGCAACAAAAATTAATTTTTTTAAGTATCACATTGCTGTGTTCCAAATTTTTATTTTTAAGAAATGGTTAAAAAGTAATATATCATAAATACCATTTGCACGTTTATAGAGTGACTGCAATGCCTATTAACAAAAATGTGCTCAGGACAAGTGCTGTCAATTACGTGGAGGTGCCACTATTTTCACGAGTGCAGTCTATTGCCCCAATTACACCAGGAAAACCAGCCAGTCACATAAAATTAGTTTTCAGTTCTTGCTGCTGTCTAGGAAAGGAAATATTCATAATCAATTTATAACAATAATATGTTAATTACTTACCCTCCCGCTACATTAAATATTCACAAGAGAACAATTGATAATCTGATAAAGCATTTATTTAAAAATTAAATTTTGCTTTTCAGGTATACTGCATAGAATCGTGAGAGAAATAAAAGGTTTTAGGTGCATATTTTATATATGTACACAAATTATTTTAGAAGCATTGGCAGGTGGTTTATTATGGGCCCTTAGCCTCTATATTATACCCAAGAAAACTCTGAAAGTATGCATACAGCTGATCTACTTTATGTTTCTTCTACTTTTTCAGTTTAGAGAACCTAAAGCAAGGTTTTATTTAAAATAATGCAACTGGTTATACATACCTTGAAGTTTTTGGAAATTTTATCCATTTTCTGAGTAATTTTCTGTTAATAGCAGCAGCAACATGTGAAACTGCTCTACTAGCAGTAGGCTGGCTGACTTGGAGGCAGAATTCATTTGCTATAGACTGCTGGTTATGAACCACATGCAAAAAACCGTAAGGCACAAAGTACCTGAAATTATGACAGTTATTTTTTACTTATGCAATGATATATAAAACTAGCAATCTGATAATACTATATATTAATCTTACACATACATATAAATATATAGGATCTAAGAAATCCAATGAATTTAAGTCGATAGTAGATGTGATTGTCTTGTTATACAAAGTAAGTAATTTAAAGGAAATGTTTTGTATGAGATATTATTCATGTTAACTTATATATCAATAGTTTCAACAAACTATTGCATACAACTAAGTGCATAGTGTAAGTAGCTGTCACATACATCTGCCAAATGGAAAATCCATGGCTTAAATCGTAGCATAAACACAGTTGAAAAATTAAGTCATGTTATTTTCAATACTAAATTATCAATCAATAATTAACAGAAACTTTTTTTTTTATCCTATGCCCGTCCACAGCATTTCTGCCACTAAGTGACAACGAGCAGCCCAGTAAAATGAAAAAGAATGAAAATGAGAATTAAAACTAGCATCAAAAATAGTTGTCAAACAGCAAAATGTGCAAATTGACAGCTGTGCAGATGGATAGAAAGACATCAATTATAAATTGCCTATTATGTGTGCATGTGATTGTCAAATTATATTAAAAGTATGAGAGAATTAGTACTTCTGTATGAGATGATAAATGCTGGAGCAGCATTTAACACTTTGACACATTAAATGGAAAACTCTAATAATAATCAGTATCTCTTTTACTATATGAAATTGAGAACTCTGCTATAAACAGTTTTTTTATTTTTTAAACTTTTTTTTTATTTTGCAAAGAAACAGTTATTTGTTAATACTAATAGACCAAAAAATACTATTTTATGAAAAAAAAAAAAAACCCTCAGTTTTATAGCATTGTTACTTTATAACATAATGCAATAATAATGCAGTATCATTCTGCTAATAAATTTTAGCACCTAACTATAAGTTACACAGTTATAAATTGGGTATAAAAACATTTATTACCCAGCTATGATTTAAAAAAAATTAAATAATACAACTCAAAAAGTTTAAAAATTTACTTAAATTTCTATCATAACTGTTAGTAGATTATATGTCAAATAATCATTATGGCTTTTAACACTGAGAGGGGCTTTAAAATCATGTCTCTCTGTGTTAAAAATTGTAATAATTTCATATTTTTCCTTTGTGAAAACAAGGAATTTAATTCAAAAATAGAGTGACCATTTATTTTCATATGGCAATTCAATATGCACCGTTTCTCAAAAACAATTAAATGAAGGGCATTTATGAAATTTAAGTTTTAAAATTTTAATTTTAATAATAAAATAATTGAATGACATTAAATGATTTCATTGAATTAATTATCTCGGATGTTTATATTATTATTAATTGATAAAAGCTTTTGTGCTAGAGAAATACTTTATGAAAAAATTGAAGAAATATCGTCTTCTACATTTTTAAACTATATAATTGCAATATATATATTACTTCAGGAAAAGTATAAATAACTTACCTTTCTTTCAGTAGAAATTGCGTTCCTGTTTTCTGAATGTGGCTCCAAATATTCCCTCAATTCATCGCAAACTGAAATTAATAGAAATTTTGGCAATCTGAAATATGTAATAAACACATCTTCTGGCAGAGAAAAAGCGTCATCATATTTTCTATAAATTCGCCGCCGATTCAGAGATCTACGACCGTATTCTTCATTTAAATATGAAAAAATCAGCGGCGAAAACGCATACAAAGCCATTGTCTACTTAGTAAGTCAACTGCACAACCCTGATTGACGACGTGGCAACACTTTTTCCCGCGCTTTTGGCAACTTCCGTACTCAGAGAATATAGGATGTTGGGCAGACCTGTTTTTCACTAGCAGCGACCTCTGGCGGGCCACAACTTGCTGTTGACTCTCGTAGCGAGAATAGCTCAGGTTGGGTGTTTTCTCCTTTGTTTTTTCTTGAGAGAGTGATTGACGCGCCGGGTTCTCCGCTTCGTCTGATGTATGCGTTTTTGATTTTGGGGCGACCTCACATGATGGTGCAGTTCCCAGATTGTGAAACCAAAATTGTCCCTCTGGGTTAACTGAACTCCTTGGATCGTCTCTAGGGGTTAAGGCATTAAGCTGTGTAAAGGCAGCCTCGAGCTAGCCAGGTCTTGGGTGCTCCTTCCTCCTAGCCTACTGTACCACGATGTTATCTCTTTGCTTTTGTTCTTCCACGATGTTGATCGACTACGTTTTCGCCTTGGGTTGTTCTCTCCGCGCTGTCTTTGTCCTCGATGCGTTTGCTCCGATTTGCTTTCGTCTATAACATTTAACGTTAACTTGTATAGCGACGTTCAACTTAAGCTCATTTACTAATCAGTAATAAGAGTTTCAAGTATATAAGTCACTATTATCACCCACCCATCTTTTAATAGAAAATAGAAAGTGAAATATCTGAACAAGAAACATGACCTTTTGTGATATGCGCAGTTTTTGCTTAGTATAGCAAGACAGATTTTCGTGCGAGCCTGCATTTATGAACAGTAGCTTTAAAGACTGGAGCTTATCAATGCACAGCAATAAAAGGAGATACGAGATACAAACACTATATAACTGTTATTTATATACACGTATGTATTCATGGAATGCGGTATCAGTTCATCGAATGCGGATGTATGTATTTTGGTCATAGGTTCTTATTTAGTTCCATAATTTATAATTCACGTTGGTTAATTTATTCGAATTATAAGTTAATAACCAAGTTTCGGATTTCAATATAAAACTCTGTTTTTTTTTTTTTTTTTTTTTTTTTTTTTGTCTAAAAATACTTATTTTGGAACGAATAGCTTCTTTGCTACAGACTGCAGTTAAAGTAATATTCTTACTATTTTTATTTAATAAATTTATTTTTCAAAACTTTATTTGTATTATACTTTTTTATTCAAATAAATAGTTTGGTACTGACTTTACAAATTTTTGTATTGGAACAGAATAAGATTTGTATGAACTGCACCTTTTAGAATTTATACATTTAACTGCATCCTTTCTTGCATTTCATTTTCAATTTCTGCGCTTTTTGTCGCTGGACTTTTAAAGTGGACTCGTTTGTTATTACTTTTGCAAGACATTTATTTAATTGTTACAGTTTTTTACTCCAAATTGAGTACGTTTCGAATTAAAATTTTCGTTGTAATTTGTGAGTATAAACCAAAAAGCCACAATACGACCGCCTCTCACCTAGAGCAATGACCTCATCCTGAGTCAAAACTATGCCGCACGCGTGGTTGATGCTGGAGTATATATTTCGCCCATGCACTGGAAACCAAAATTTCCCAAACTATCACCGGACTATTTCTGCATTTATTTGCAATTATATTTACTATCCTAGTTAAGGCTTTCTTTAAGCAGCATTCGCTAGAGAGAATTCAAGACAGGGTGATCACCTTACGAGAAGGTGACCACCTCATGTGACACGATTCCGCAAATCGGGACTCAGTATTTTCAAAATTTGATTGTCACACATCCTTTATGTATTTATGCCTATATTTCTCCTTGTATTATTGTTCTTCCTTAGGTGCATTTTATGTGTATTTTATTCTGCAATTTATATGGACTACTCAAGTTTTCGTAACAGAATCAAATACTTTGTTATTCGTCACTTTAAGAAGTATTCAAGAGACTGAACACAAGAGGGTTGCTACCTCACGTGACTTTACTTAGCATATCAGAACTCCTTTTGCATTGCCTTACTTTATTTTTACATATGTATATAATTTTTTCTCATTTACATTTCCTTACTGAATCTATTAATATTACTGAATCTATTATACTTAATTTATTATACTGCAACTTATATGGACCGCTCAAGTTTTATGTAGATACAGCAGCAATAAATATAGCATACGCGTCGAATTTGTTTCCGGTTACACCACGAAGGCGTAAAGAAATGAGGAAGAAAATACCCTATAAAATCACAAGTGTATAAACCTCGGCCTCGTTTTGCATAAAAGATTACATTATTGCTTCGTTTAATTTTTACCCGAACTTTGTTTAAGAAGCTATTATTTTCCCATTTGTTGAAATTTCTAGAATAATTGCTCTGTAACTATTTGCTACAGGCTTATTCGGAGCTCCAATCAATTTCCGTTTCATGAAATTTATAAGGCATAAAAGTAACTACAATTATACCTTGTTTAAAAAGAAGCAATTTTGCTTTCATTTATAAATTTGAGGTAATATCATTATAACATTTTCATGCAATTTCATAAAATCAATTTATCATAAAATCATAAAACCAAAACCAAATTAAATATATATTTTAATAAAAAGGAATTCAATCCATTATTTAAATGCATTTTTTCTAAACTAAAACTTGAGCTTATGTATTTTTATTTATATAAAATACTTTTACAAAACAAAGAACTGCTCAAAATACAAACTAGATTCACATAAAGGCACTATATTTTAAGCGTTACAAAGTGAGGCGGTTTTCACTAAAAACATAAGCTATTGCAGTATATATCTTATACTTATTACTCGGATATTGTTTACAGAAGAGAATCGTAAGGTGAAACGTTGTTCTATATGATAAATTTTAAAATATTAAGCTTGAACACAGGTTTCAAACATTAATTCATTAATTCTGGGATGATTTAAAGAAATTTGAATTTATGAAACTAAAATATGTTAACTAAAAATGTGCGAGCACTAGTTTAAATAAAAACGACATATTCAATACGCTAAACATTATTTTATTAAGTTATGAGCTTTTAACTACCCGTAAAACGTTAAGAATTTTAAAGGTCATCTGAAAACAATAGATATTTTTAATTCAAATGTAAAACAGTTTTAAAGAACAGTTCGTAAGTACCTTAGGAAAAATAAAAGGCCGAAAGTTACGTAAGAAAATTTGCTTCATTAACGACTTTATTCTTAAATCATTCCGCAAGATTTTTAAAAATATTTTGTGATTGGTTAATGACATTCCGCAGGGATGAATGGTACCGGAAATTTCCGGCGTGCTAAAAAGCAAATACCGTAAATGTATTC